AGGAATTCACCGACCATCTTGTGAAAACCCACACTAGAGTCTCTGTCCAGAGGACTCAAGCTCCAGCAGTAGCTACAACATAAGGGTTCTTACACAACAAAAATAAAATAAATAAAATATCAATGATTATCTTTTTTTCCTGTCATACATTTTAGTGATCGCTCAATCTGGAAGGAGCTGGTACGATGAATTGGGAATGTGGAGGTGACACCAGAAACAGGCAGGGTGTACCACTTTATTTCAGCAATGTAACAAGGGTCAGTCAGGGGTGCTCTCAGAGTAGGCTTCAGGCAGCAGCCTCCTTGGCAGCCTTTCTTTCGGCCAGCATCCTCTGCTTCTGCTTTGCCAGGCATTTTCTGGCAGAATAATGGGCTCCTAGGTCGTTATCTGGGAAGCAAAGTGGGGGGCAGGTTGGCATTTAAGTTCACTCAAAACCCTGGGTGAACCAGGGTCTTTCCTACATGCAGAGGAAAAGCTAGTTAAGAGTCATGCACAGTGACAAGAACCACAGTTTGAGGAGACTGATAAAGTGGTTGCAGGTTGAGGTTGAGGTAGGGGCAGCTGGGGTTGGGTAAGGGTGGGGTCTCACTCACAGCGGTCCTGGTAGGCCTTGGCCACCTGGGCAAACTGTTCAAGCTCCTTGGCACAATTCTGCTTGTAGCTCTCTCCTTCCCTCTGTTGACAGGCCTTAAGCCTTCCTTGGATGATACTGATAATTTGTTGATCAACTAGGCTGGAAGAAAAAGGCTGTGCCTAAGGGGGAGATGAAGGGAAAGCCGGGCCTCTGGGGCCGTCAAGTTTGCCTCACCTGGAGGAAGAACATTGGGTAGATGAGGCCATCCTGTGGCATCCCCAGAAAATTAAGGCCCATTTTGAGCATTCCTTTTCACTTACTAGTCTCTTCTCCATTGCATTTCAGCTTCAAACATGCACAGAATATCGTTCTCCTTGCACTCTGTTATGTCTGGCACGCGGCGGTACTGCCGGTGGTAGTAATAGTACCTGTTCTTGGCATGCTGCCGCTCTATAAAATCTGTAAAAAAGAAATGCCACGTTCAGTTGTCTCATGGATTTGGACAAGTTCGTATGTGGGGAAGGGGGTTTGTCTAAATGTTCTGAGCTTTTACACAGCTGGACTCAACAAGTGTGGGTCAGCACTGCCCTGTGAAAGTGGGGTACAAACGATGCCCACTATCCTGAGAGTTTCAACTGCAGTATCTCCTATCATTCCCACAACAACATGATAGGCTGGGTCCTTCTTATTCATAGATGGGACCAAGACTCAGAAACTGCTAGGGAATTGCAGGGTAGAATTCATAACCCAGTTCCGCAAGGCTGCATCTCCAGCACAGGGATCCACTGTGTAGACAAAAGGCACTGACAGGAAGCAACCAGCAGAAATCCCACTCTGCAAACTTGTGGCTAAATCCATGTATTCAAATGTTTCTAAGCTATTCCAAGAAAGGAAACTGGCTCCACTGCACTTAATTCTTGAAGGTCTGGTTTGTAGATTTTATTTTCCCTAGCCTGCCTGGCATGGTGCTGCAGACCAGGCTCACAGTCCCAGCTCTGGAAGGATGAGATACAAGGATGGCTTGAGCACACAAATTATGTTTTTTGTACTGGAGCCGAACTCAGGACATCATGCTTGCCAGGCAGGCGCTGTCACTGAGCTAAATCCCAGGCCAAAGCCCGAGCCCAAGACCAAGACCAAGCCCAGATATTCTGGGTCAATTTGGGCAACAAAGTTCTGCTCCAAAAGTCCAAAAACAAGCCAGATGTGGTGGTGCACTCAGAAGGCTAAGGCAGGAGGATCATAGCAAGTCTGAGGTCAGCCTGGACTACATAGTAAGTTCAAGGCCAGTTTGCACTACATCGTGAGATCCTGTCAAAAAAAACCCCAAAACACCACCAATAATGACTAGTAATTCCTCCATCGTGTTTTGTTGCTAAATAGTTTCACTGAGCGGGTGAAGTGCCTAGCACTTGTGACTGACGGCACAGTGTGCTCTTGCTGCGGCCTAGAAGGATGGCAAACAAGATTACAAAGAGCTACGTGGAGCAGTCTCTGACTGGGGCCAGAGATGAACAACCAGGGCGACCATACTACATGTGAAGACGTGTATCCCCAGAGGGCTGATAACTACCCCGAGAACATGCAGGTGGCCAGTGTGGAAAGTTCAAAGCAGGTTTCTGTGCACACTGAGCAGTGTGCTGCGGGGGTGGGGTGGGGTCTAGTGGACCAAGCCCAGGGGCTCAGGTGAATTGAGTGCAAACAACCACTGTTACGAGGAAGGCTGAGAACGCAGACCAAGGGCTCCTCCTCGGTACACCGGAGGGGTCCAGGGTGCAGTGGGGAAGTCAGTCGGGTCAATGGACCTCCGCGATTTCCTGGTGGAAAGGCCGCGGGGGAGCGAGGCCCGGGGTACGGGGGAAGGTCAAAAGAGACAATGGAGCTAGGGTTTCCAGATGGCGGCCGCGGGGCGCCCGGACGCGGGGGCGGCGGGGCACTAAGGGTCCCCGCAGGACGGGCGGGATCCAGGGCCTGTACCTCTCACGAGGGTCACAGGCCGGTCCACGAGGAGGTCGAAGGCCTTGGTCAGGTAGGTGATGGGGTTAGGGAGCGACGTCTGCGGCGAGGGCGCTGGCGTGCGGCGCGGGGGTTCAGGGTACACGTCCTTGTCGTAAGGGTCCGGCATTGCAGCGGGGGTCGCACTGCCGGTGTCCGCGAGCCCGTGTCTTGCCGGTTCAGGCTCTTCCCTCTACCGAGGACGCCGGGCCACTGCGCCTGCGCGGCGGGGCAGACACTGCGCCTGCGTAGTGGGTGTTGGGCTTTGGGAAGGCCCCGGGGCACCACGGGTCTTGTGGCTTTCTGCGGGCGCCCCCGCGTGGGACCTGGCGGCGTTGCACCCACATCCAGTGAGCAACGGGAATAAAAACCGTCTGTAGCCGTGGGCACCCTCATAATCCCAGCACTCAGGAAACTGAGGCAGGAGGATCGCTGACAGGTGGACGCCAGCCAGGGCTACATAGTGAGTTTAAGTCCAGCCTGAACTACGTAACAAGACCCTGTTTTCTTTTTTTTCCCTTTATTTTATTAAGTCATAAATGTACAACAGCTTCTTAACTCTACACACGCACTTACATTTTTTAAAGGAAAAACGTTATGTCTTATTACACCATCATCCTGGCTAATAGCTTTTCAAAACTTTGAGAAAAATCTTTAAAAAGGTTTCACATGTCACCTGAAACTTACAAATTTAACATTGTCAAAGAAGGAATGCTTCTACACCCTTACAAAGACCACTAGAAAGAAACAACAATTAAAAAGCCACGAAACTGTCTCAAAGGCAGTTTTTACAATCCCTCCTCCCAGTAAGGTAATGTTATTAAATAATCCAATCCATTCACAAAATGGCTCTCTGCATCTGCTCTGGTGTCTTCTGCGGTATCACTGCGTATTTATGCATGATTGAGATAAGTTTCCTTAACATTGTTATTTCGATAACCTGAAGCTGTTCTGTTACCTTTGGGGCCTCATCGTCTCCTATTTATACAGTGAAGCCCATGGCAAATAGGAAGAAGCTCAGTATCTGCTCTTTCCACCATAACCCCCACTTTCTCCACTGCCTCCTGGACCATAATTTCCTCCACCATATGGTCCCCCCATGTTCCTGCTACCACCAAAGTTTCCACTTTTCATTGGACCATAGTTAGAAGGTTGCTGGTTATAATTTCCAAAATCATTGTAATTTCCACTTCCGTAATTCCCTCGTCCATAGTTGTCATAACCACCTCCGTAGCCCCCACCCTGGTTTCCATATCCAGGTCCTCCACCACCGTATCCTCCTTCCTCCTCCATAACCATACCTCCAAAATTGCCACCTCCAGGTCCTCCTCCATACCCATTATAGCCATCCCCAAATCCACGTCCACTTCCATATTCATCAGAGCCTCCTCTAAAGTTACTTCCTGGTCCTGGTCCAAAATTCCCACCGCCTCCACGTGAATCCCCAAAACCAAAGTTCCCTCCTCTTCCACTCCTAGAACTTTGGACTTCCTGCATTCCTTGTCTAGACAAAGCCTTTCTTACTTCTGCATTATGACCATTAATGGTGTGGTATTTTTGCAACACAGTTTTATCCACAGGATCATGGTCATAAAAAGTAACAAAGCCAAAACCTTTTTCCCAGACTGCCTATCAGTAATTCTTTCTTTCTTTTTTTTTTCTTTTTAAACTAGAAAGGTTTTGTTTGTTTGTTTGTTTTTTTCCCTTATCGGGAATCGAACTCACGACCTTGCGCTTGCCAGGCAGGCGCTGTGCCGCTGAGCTAAATCCCCAGCCCCAGTTTTTTTCTTTTTTTGGTTTTGGTTTTTTTCCAGTACCGGGAATCAAACTTGCGCTTGCCAGGCAGGCGCTTTGCTGCTGAGATAAATCCCCAGCTCCTCAGTGATTATTTCAATGGTATCAATTTTTCCACATTCTTCAAAGTAATCTCTAAGGTGATGCTCCTCAGTATCCTCTTTAATTCCACCAACAAACAGTTTCTTCACAGTCACGTGAGCCCCTGGTTTGCCAGACTCCTCTCTTGCTACAGCACGTTTTGGTTCAACTACTCTCCCATCAATTGAATGAGGTCTTGCAGCCATGGCAGCGTCAACCTCAGCCATGGATGAGAAAGTTACAAAACCAAATCCTCTCGATCTTTTGGTTGCAGGATCCCTCATAACCACACAGTCTGTCAGTTTTCCCCATTGCTTGCAGTAGTTCCTCAGACTTTCTTCTGTGGTTTCAAAACTTAAGCCACCAATAAAGAGTTTACGAAACTGTTCCTTTTCTCTCTCCATCGCGGACTCAGTCGCTTCATTTCGATTTCCCGCAGCCGAGCGAGATGAGAGAGATCTCCGCGGAGGAACACGAACCGGACTCGTCCTGGAGCTGTAGTGAGAACTGCTGCTGCTTGAGAAACACCGCTAACTGCATGTCTGCACTACACATGGTGCTGCCGCTACTGCCGCTAGAGCCACTGCCGCCGCTTTTCTCAAGACCCTGTTTTCTTAAAAGTAAAGGAAACAGCTGGGCACATGCCTGTAATCCCAGCATTTGAGAGGCTGAGGCAGGAGGATGATGAGGAGTTTGGGACCAGCCTGGTTTTGCCACAGCTTGTCTCAAAAAAAGGGGACAAAAAGCGCCTGCCTGGCAAGCGCAAGGTCCTGAGTTTGATTCCCGGTACCCAAAACAAATAAACAAAAAACAAAAAAAACAAAAAACAAAAAACAAAAGCAAAAACATGGGGCCGGGCGTGGTGGTGCATGCCTATAATCCCAGGACTCGGGAGGCTGAGCCAGGAGGATCATTGCGAGTTTGAGACCAGCCTGGCATATAAAATGAGCTCAAGGCCAGCCTGAACTGCATAGTGGGACCCTGTCTCAAAAAAGACCAAAAAAAAAAAAAAAAAAGCAAAAATAAAAACTCAATCGTCCAGGCGCTGCTGTGTGCCAGGTCCTGGGCCAAGGGCAGTAGGAAGCAAGATAAACATGGCCCGGCTCTTATAGAAAACACCCTGGTTAGGGGCTGGGGATTTAGCTCAGCGGCACAGCGCCTGCCTGGCAAGCACAAGGTCGTGAGTTCGATTCCTGGTACCGGAAAAAAAC